ATTAAGAAGTAAAAGCGAAGGTACGCTTCTTAATCCCCAGCTATAGTTATTTTCCAAGCCCTGTAGCTATGGTATTTTTACTCATATTTCATTTCGCATAGGTTTTCTTTGGCTTTTTTTTTTCAAAGTTCTGATGGTTTTTTTTTTCCCAGATCGTTATTTGGCTTCCTCCTCTTGGGATAACTCTTCCATCTCTGTAGTTAATTTTTTCAGCAAATTAATGTCTCTCCGCCTGCATGTTTTCAGCTTTGAGCATTAAGAAGTAAAAGCAAAGGTACTCTTCTTAATCCCCAGCTATAGTTATTTTCCAAGCCCTGTAGCTATAGTATTTTTCCTCATATTTCATTTTACATACGCGTTTTCTTTGGCTTTTTTTACGAACTTCTGATGTATGTTTTTTTTTCTTTTTTTTAAGATCGTTATTTGGCTTCCTCTTCTTGGGATACTCTTCCATTCTTATAGTTAATTTCCAGCAAATTTCTCCACCCTCGTGCTTTCAGTTTTGAGCATTGACAAGGTACGCTGGTCTTAATCCCCAGCTATAGATATTACTAGCTACATTATTTTTACTCAAAATTCATTTTACCATATGTTTTCTTTTTCCTTTTGCCATCTTTTCGTGGATATATATGTAATTAAGTATGAGTTCAAATCGTTACTTCATTGTGTGTGTGTGTGTGTTTTCTTCATTTTTGTTGAATAATCCCTATACATATACTATTTTATTGAACATAACATAGATAATATTAGGTGATTTAATTAGTATTGTTTAAATATATTTTTATTTAAAAACATTTTAATTTTTGATTGTCTTTTAATTCATTAGAACATCTATTTATTCTTAATTAAATTATGTCTTTAGTTAATATAATGATGATTATAATGATGAATATCTTATAAAATTGAAGAATATCCCATTAGAAAAACTTGGACACGTAACAAAAATGAAAAATTTCAAAGCTAAAAATGCTGTGTGTGGACACTACAACGTGGGTAGCGGCACTCTTGTTTATTTCATCCTACGGCCGTATATAATGAGCAATTTAGTTTTATTCACTTAGATCCGTGAAAGTGACTTTTCTTGTACTGATATAGTCCCTCAACTTTTAAAGAATATTTAATTAAGTCCAAAAACTTCTTTTATTATACATTTAAATCCTTTTCTGTACAAAAAATAAAAATTTATATATATTCTATTAAAACCACATCCTATCCATCTATCAAAGAGAAAAAAAAATCAAGTGTAAAATAAGAAATTAAAATATATTATAGGCTTAAATCCAAGGAAAAAAAAAAAAAGCTTAAAGCTGGGGAAATTCACACAAGCCCACATTGTCAATAATATTATCAGGCAACGCCCAAGAGATGAGGAAACAATAATACTAAAATGGGAAAAAATCCGAATCGATTTAAAATTTTCCGAAAACAAACAGATAACGGGGAATTGAAATAGGAAAAAGGGAACCAAACTCCATTGGTTTTTGATGCTGAGCAATTAAAAGTTAGATTATCAAATATGTTAAGGGAGACAAGCTGAGAGCTTCAATTAAAAATCTACTAGCAAATTATGATATAGCATATAGCAAAATTCACGTCAATTTTACTAATTTTAAGGAATGGTAGGCTTCTGCTAAGTCCTATTCGCCACTATCATTAATTGTCATCATTACTTGATAATTCTCTTGTAGTGAAAGTGTCTCAGAGGGTATTCTTGTCGAAGGAGTCAAGATGCTCAGGCAACGCAATTAGAGAACTATGAATTAAATGATAAAGTGTTTCAAAAATTGAAGTGAAGTTTAATTTGATTTTGATTAGTTAGTTTACAAAT